TGCACTGCGCGATGTAACACATATGCGCCAACACGGAATGCCTGAGCTGAGCTCACATCGAATGCGCAGAGTCCACATGAAGTGGAGGAAACTTGCTGCTACCCCCTGCAAGCGCTCATTCAGCTGGCCGACTAAACTCCATTTATTGCGTCTGCCAGGGCGATGCAAATCTCTGCTGCGAAGGATGCCGTCCCCAATATCTGCCTTGTCGTTTCTGGAGGGTCGAGCATCCGATGGGATCGTCATCGCAACGGAGAGCGCAATGGTTGTGGTTCGAAGTGAGTCGATACTCACTTCTGCACACCAGGATCAAATGGTGTCAACTTTTGGGCGCTTTTAAACATTCCTTGGCTGCTCTGAATAAGACTTTAGATAACCGGAAGAAAATCGTTTTATGGGCTTCATTTCTCAGCTTCTTGTCACTCTCGTACCCTTCGCCGCCTTCATGAACGCTCGATGACATTTGCGTCTGAGAATTATGGGTAGCTATTAGGTGCTATCTAACATTGATCGATGGTGAGTGTTGTCAAGCCCAGCAAATGCATGAGTTGCGAAAATCCTGTTGGGAAGGGTGCGAAGCGCGGCTACCCTGAAAAACTGTGGCCAGGCCATATGATGTGACAGTCATCTGGGGGCCCCCCAATAACGCAGGGCCCATTTCAAAGAGGGGGTTAGTTCAAAAAAGGATGTTCGTTTGAAAAGATGTGTGCCTGAGACGTGAGTTTCGAAAATTGGTGTAAAAAGGATTATTTACTGTATTTCCTTGTACCAAATTTTGCAAGAAGGGCATTTCATTTATGCTGCTGAGTTTCACACCCATTCAAACCTACTTTCCAGGTGTGGAAGACGTCGAATGGCTCCAATTAGATGCAATCGACCCAGTTGATGAAATTAGACACCTGGGATGGTCCGCAGCCTCCGATTTAGTCATACTCCAAAATCGCAACGGGCGTTTGAGAGTATTGGACCTGGTCGCAAAAGAGTTCGTCGTGGACATTCAGCCGAATGACGGCGCGGCACTGGGGTTCACAGGCGGTGACGACGGCAAACCCGCGCGATTCTCATGGAGATGGAATGGAAGACGCCTCCTCGTCGGTAGGCGACACTCTTGCCTGATGGAAAGCGGGGAGCGGCATTGATTTGAGGCTTCCCAGGCTCGGTTGAAAAGCAAATCAAGGCATCGTTGTCAATCACGATAACTGGAAGCCAAATCTCCTGTGTGGAACGCTATAAAATGATAATACTCATCATGAACACAATGCTGTGTATATCACAGATGGGCATCGATGGGCACCATCGATGGTGCCCATTTCTATTTTAATCTTGATTGCCGAAATATGGGATTTGGTCCCGGGGACGAGTAACGGCGATCACACGATACTGATTACTCAATGGTGATTGCTCGTGAACAAATGATTCAATTCACGGCGCACCAATTTCACAGCTGTTTGATACTTTTATGACTTAGTAACTGAAACAAAAAAAATATCAACGACGGAAGGAAACTGATTCGAAATTTGCAAGCGAGTGGCAACATTTGCCCCTGAGCGCCATGCAATGGATACAACAACCCATTACGCTCCCTTTCGGGCCGTGATTAAATTGCGATAAAAGAAGCTCGTGGCAATCAGGCTTGTTGCTTACGTAGCAAACGCAAATCATATTTAATTTTTCCAGGAAAATGTTATTCATGATTTGAGCGTAAAAATAAGTAAAATGCTACCTCCGTTGCAGAAGCCTTACCCATAAGAAATTGTATGACATTTTAAGACCTTTTGTAGCAGAGTTTGTACATAATGCGTGTCCAGTGTACATAAATGCAGTATATAGAGACTTGGGGAGTCCAGGGATTGGCAGCCAGACGCCCTGGAGTGGGCAAGAAAACGATTTTTTTCGAAGAGGTCCTTGCCCTTGCCGAGAGCGAGGTGCTCGCTGCCATGCGTGCGATCGAGGGGCCGGAGGACTGATCATTGTATGCGATTTCATCATGTAACCTCAACATGCCATAAAATACCGAAGAATTTGTAATAAACATAGATGATTCTGTGTGTTTGCGTTCTTATATGTAAAGGCACAAAAGTAAAACGTAATGCGAGAACACAAATAGCAAGCCTGGCGGCAACGAACAGCTCCCGGAAGCAAATCGCTGCGACAACTCTCATTTTAATGAATTTTGTTGATTTTGTTGATTTGTTGATTTTGAGCTAGATGACTCGTTTATTACGATACACATTTATTTCTTGTGTGTCGTGTCCGTATTGCCGTATTGGGCGCTACTTTGTCATCCGTTATCATGGGAGCAGGACGCCCATTTTCCTTCAATTGAAATGAAAATGGAAATAAATGGTATGCAATTTGCGTTCTCATTCCGTCCTTTATCACCTTGATGCGACAGGTTTCAGTGAGTCAACCGCACGCCACATGTGTGCATTTGGCCAAATGAACGTTTCAAATTTTCATGAGAAATGATATAGGAAGTTTTATCCATGTGATTTCCTCTTCTTTGAATGCGCATCTGGTGTGAGCGCACCGTGGCAGAGAAACTTGAAATGGCGCTGCGGATTTCAGGTGCTGTGGAGGCTTCCGACGCGGCAGTCTCGAGTAACGGCAGCGAAGTTGCGGAGGGGGACGGACGCGGCCAAGCTGCCCCCAAGCCGCCGGACGAAGAATGCGAGCAAACTCAAGAATGGCACTGCCAGTCGTTGTGCTCATTCGATATGCTGCGTTGCATCGGGGGGGCGTACACGGAGCAAGGCATTGCTGAAGAAATGCGGGACATGCATGAGAACGTCTCTGAGGGCGTATCATGGCCCAGCGGCGACGCCAATGAACACTTTGCGGAAGTTTTCCAGGAGGCTGCCGCGCAGCGGGCTCAATCCAAGGTCCCTGCGGAGGCAATAGCCGCAGACGATATTGGGTATTGGATGTTGAAGAAGACTAAGACTGCGCTGGGTCCCTTCTTTGATCGTGCATCGCACGACAGTCTTCTGTGCTGATGGCGACTGAAACGGGATCGTCGCTGACAGGGGCCGAGTATGGAGCAATGTAGAATGTATGGATCTGATGCGTTCCGATTCCACTGCTGGCTCGTTGTGTCACAACGATGTCAAGCGAGTCACTGACGTTACTGAGCAAGCCATGCATGTCGATTTCTTGGGGAGAACTACGCATTTGACGGCTGTGATTTTCGATTAGCAGCACTGACTCTGCGGTAACCGCTCTCGCGTATGGTCAATCGGCTTGATACGTTCTAAGAGACGCGATTCGGAAAGGGCAGTGGGGTAGTTGGATGGCCCCAGATGTGCTGCTTTAGGAATCTGCGGCTGAGAGGCCGGCGAGGAGAATAAGCGCGTAATGAGTGCATCTGAAAGACGGAAAGAATGGCAATACAGTCTTGGCCAGAAGTGTGAGGGAATGCAATTCTCTATTTGTGCGCAAGCGCAATTGACGCACGGGTTTTGTTTTCCATTCGGAATGCAATGCAGTGCAGTTCTTGATGCGTTTCTGTTCTTGAGTGATCGCATACGTTTAAGTGTTCAGGTCCCGTCCTCGTTGTCTTTTGGATTGCAACAAATATCAACACACGCCAGGCCATCTCTGCATCGACTGGCTGATCCAATGCCGCAAAAATTGGACGAATGAAGCGTGGAAAATGATGAATGCCCACGGAGGCAGGCGCCGACTCAGAGCTGGGATCTGACTGTGAACGTAACAGATACCCGCAATGCCGCAGTCAGCCGCTGCATGACCACGGGGCCGTTATCAACGCGGACTGTCCCTGGTGAAATTGCGTATGCATCATGTTGTAGGCTGTGCTTGTCGAGTGGCACATTTCTATGAGGGTGAAAAGGGTAACAGAGGCTTCCAGGGTGTTGCAATGGGCCTCATGGCTATTGGCAGTTGCGGGCTATGGTGGCGGGGGCATGATATGTTTTCTACGCCGCTGCAGCAAGCGCCAGACTTCGCCCTGGCGACAAAGCTATGATGCCCACATCGTTTGCTGAAACCGGCCCATGAAAGCATCATCATCACTTTTACAGAACAAAGCAACGAGGTAGCCTTGAGCTTCTTTTTGGTTCAAGCAAGGCAGTGTCTGTGATCAGTTCTGATGATGATGATGACGAGTCTGTGATCAGTTCATTGAAGCATAATGTTCAACAATAATCAAAGTCTATGAATCTACCAGTATTGACTCCCAATGCCCAAAAGCGATTGTCGATGATAGTACATCAAAAGAGGCGTCCTCGCCAGTTTGCGAGAGGGAACTGAAGCAAAGAGTGTTTTCGCGTTGTGATATCAAAAAGATTTGAGTGGCTTCCACGGACGTTTATAACCCACAACAAGCGTGGCAGCCACCTGGGACGGTCCTAGGCTGCCGCCACCCTGCGCACAACGCAACGTGGGTCAGCGCTTCGACACCCACGGACGGCCATTGAGTCGCTGTGTATTTCCGAGCCACCTCTCTTGGGCGTGCTGGCTGCGAGCGTTACGTTACGCACGCACACACACACACACACACACACACGTCGCCACCACGCCCCAATTGTGCAGCCTCCCCCTCTGCTTGTTTGGGGGAATGGAACTTCTCAAGGGGAGTGTGTGCTTTTGCCTCCTCCCTGCCGGTGGCGGGGTGGTTTGGTGCGCGGCAGGACATCCCACCAGCGGTACCTGAATCAATCCCCGGTTCGGTCATCCTCACCACACTCCCACTTGAACACCCTTTCCCCGCATCACGTAAGCGCGTCGCCGGCTCGAAGCTGCCGGCGCCGGGCGGCACAGCTTCCACACCCCCGCGCGGGACTTCGGACTCCCCCTTCCCCTCGCGGCGCATCTGTTTTTTCTCGGGGCCGCGTACCACAGCCACCCGCCCTCGACCCGGCCCCCGGGGCGCCCCGCCTCGGACCCTCGTGCGCCCGGCCGGCCCGTAAGCTGCGGCGCGGTGCGACAGGGAAAGGGCGAGCAACAGCCATCGCGGTCGCTGCCGGCGAATTGGTGACAGGATGGGATCGTCAGCCCCGGACCACGTCGCCGTTCAAGTGGGCGAGTCGGACACCACGATCCTGTCGCTGGGCGCCGGCTCGTGCGCCATCGAGACCACGCGGCCGAAGGGGACGAATGCGAGGGAGGGGCTCTGTGCGCGGCCCCTGGCGACGATCCCCGCGGCCGCCCTCGGCGCGGGGGCCGTGCTGGTGTTCCTCTTCGGCCTGGTGTCGATCGCGGCGGGGGATGGCCTGCTCCTGGGGGCGGGGGTCATTGCGCTGATTGGCAGCGTGGGGTCAGCGGGGTACGCTTGCGTGATGGGAGGCGTGCGCGCGCAGCTGGACAGATTCAAGGCGCAAAATGAGAGGCTGAGCCGCACGTCGGGAGAGCTGGCCGGGGCGACGGAGCGGCTGGAGGGCGCGAACAAGCTCATCGCGGCCAAGGTGGATGGGCTGGAGGGGACCGTGGACGAGCTGCAGGGTGTGAGCGAGGAGCTGATGCGCGACCTGGAGGGGTTCGGGGAGCTGAGGACGGCGATGGAGGAGATGGCGGCCAAGAGCGGCGCGGATCTGGCCGAGACCGTGGGCAGCATCAACGGGGTTTATGACAGGCTGTACGGCCTGACGCTGGAGAACGAGAAGGCGCTGCTGAAGCGGGCGGCCCAGGTGCGGGGGGAAGGGCGGGTATTGCGGATCTGGGACGAATCTGGCCAGCGCCAAACGATGAGATCCTCGCGCGCGGCCCGACGTGCGGGCAGGGGGTTTGGAACGGCGGGGCGGGTACGGGATTGCCGCGGCGAGCGCCCGGCGTTCGGGATCTGTTGTCGCTTGGGCGAGATGTGGATTGTCGGCAACCTCGACGTGATTGCGGACCGACGGCCGCACGTGGATTGTAGATTGACCGCCGTGCGCTGATTGTGGGTTGACCGCCCCGCGTCGCGATTGAGGACTGAGTCGGTGCGCGGCCCGCCTTTCGCCGCAGGACCTCGAGTTCCTGGACCGCGACGAGGACTTCTCGAAGCAGGAGTTCCAGAGGTTCCTGCAGCGCATCCCCACGCAGTTCCGGCGGAGGTTCGAGGCGTCGGGCCTGACGTTCGAGGCCGTGGCCGGCGAGGACCAGGAGATCTCCTTCAAGGAGATGGGCGGCCTGATCGACAGGCTGCTTGCAGAGAACGACGAGAAGCGGAGCACCGCCTCGCCGAAGGCCAGTCGCTGAGGGAGAGAAGAAGGAGGTGCAAAAGAGGAGAGGAGAGGTGAAAAAGGAGATCTAAAGGGGGCTCAAAGGCGTGCCTGCTGCTGCCGGGGTGCGTTCTTTGTGTAGGCCAGTGTTACAATTTCTGACCTCCCTTGCACGTTTGCTTCAGTCGTGCGCCTGGGAGGGGAGTGCTGCCCCTGGCCAACAGAGGGGATAGCGGCCTGCTTATTCAGAGTGGTGCGCTGAACTGCGATGTGGTGATGGACTTCCCCGAGCAGTGGACGCAGGTCTGTTCTCTGGGCTGCCCAGTGGTGTGGTCATCACAAGATTGGTGCAACAGCAGAGTTCTTGGGTTCGCAATAATGCAAGCCGCGGCCCGTGCTGTCCCGTGGAGTCTGCGTGCTGATCGTGCAGATTTTTGTAGTCAGGATCGACTGGGGTTAGGCGTGGGGATTCGCACTTTCACACCCACGTGAACACTGTAAGTAGGTGGCTGGCTTTCTTGCGAATAGCAGTTGGGCATCCCAATAAATCTCCTCAGAAGTTTTTGTGCTCAAGTTTTGCCTTGACACAGCACTGCGGCACTTTTCGATCGTACGTTCTGCGACATACACTATGCACTCCAGCAACAATGGCACAGAATCTGAGATGTACCCTCTGATCTCACATCTTCCACTGCCACTCTTCTGTCGCTGGCGCTTGGGCATCAGCGCTGGGATCCAAGCAACGAAATTGGCAAGCCGGCAGACACCATAGCAGAGCCCGTTCAGGCGGATTTCATGATGGTCCGGCAATCTACTTGAATTGTGGACCATGAAATGCCACCACAGGACTGGAGGCAAGGACACTGCTGCGAAGCCAAATTGTTGGCATAAACAACATACAAATAGTATTCCCCCCCCTCCCCACCCAATTGTGCTAATCAACCCCAACTCTTCTTCATGCACTGTGAGAAAGCGGCACTGAAGGCTCCACTCTCTTTGTTTGGGCTACTCACGTCCGCCCTGCTCTCTACACTCCCCTTGGCTGTTCCTACCTCCCCTAACTTGGCATCAGCAGGGTGACCATTGTCACCAAGAGCCCTGGCAGGCCCGCTGACGTCTCGTTCTGACTCGCTTGCGATCTCTTGCTCTTGGGCGACAAGCACCGATGCCGACTGCTGTGACAAATGACCGTCAACACCCGCCTCTGACCCCAGTGTACCTTTTTTCCCCACTACCAGAATTTGGGAGATTGCCTGAACGATGTGCCCACTTGCAGCAGACACATTGCTGGCGACTGCTCCTTGAGATTCGACCCTGGGTGGGCCTGTCCATTCCGAGCTCTGCCTTCCTGCAGCTGTGCCACCACCACAAATATTCATGTCCATAACATTATGCGCCTTGGCTCCCTGCTCTGTTGCTGTTCGCATTTGATCCGCTGCATCAAGGCGCACATCTACACTGGATGACGTGCTGTTGCCCCTAAGTACTGCAAGCTTAGCATCGAAATCGCCGACAGCATTCTTGTTTGTCAGTCCGCTGGTACTTTGCTGCTTGTCGGCTCTCTGCTGTAGCCGCATGTCCTCAGGGTCTGCACCAGCAACGACATGATTTGCTTCGCGGGAGCCTGATTCATTGTTCCCCACATCACCCCAAGCATTCAGTTGTGGGGACATGGCCGTGGGGGCCACTCTCATCTCCTGTGAGCTGGCAGTCCCCAAGGAAAGACTGTGCATTTCAGCAGCACCAATGCACTCCTGGGCTGCACTTGGCGCCTGGCAAATCGCAGCCCCCTGCGCCTGCTGTTGGACGGTTGGGGGTGGTTCAAAACTGCCCACCTCCTGCATGCACCGCTGCGATGCAGGTTCAACTCCGACACTCTCTGCCATCCCTGGCGCCACCTCACCACCCGCAGGTGCCGAGCTGAACTGCAACGCATCCCGAGATCCCATGCCCGCGGCAAAGAGCCCGATGTCGGGTCCAGATGGTCCCAGTGCCGCAGCTGAAGGTGGTGTGACGTCCTGCTTGCTCTCAGCTGCTACTGGCTTGGGGGGTGGGAGTTTGAGGACCGCCTCACACAACCGAACGACGTTGGGCTCTCTTGCAAAGGCCCCGGGCCCCGGGGGCACCAGATTAATGCTCTGGCCCGTTGTCTGGCACCATTGGGAATACAGGTGCTGCATGATCCCCTCCAAGCCAGCCAGCTGCTTTGGCTTCAACTCGCCAGATAGGTGCCTGTGTAGGTCAGCCGCAAGCTGGATGAGTTGTCTCAGCTCCCCGCTGGGGTCGTTGTGCGAGCCTGCTTGAAGTGCTTGCGGTGTCCCCGGAGCTAGTCGCTCTGCAAGGGCCTTGAGCGTTGCAAGTGCATTGCTGGCAAGGGTGTGAGCCAGGGCTCTGTACCTGTTGGGGATCAGCCCAAGTGAATGAATAAATGAATGAATGAGTAAATGAACAAATAAATGAGCAAATGAATAATGAAACGAATAAGTTAGTGACTAAATAGAAAAACAGAACAAATAAGAAACCAGATAAATAAATAAGTAAATAAATAAAAATAAATAAATAAATAAATAAATAAATAAACAAATAAATAAACAAATGGACAAAACTAACACTCTAATAGCCAATGCTGCTTCGGTAGCAAAGCCCACAATGCCTGTAATTACGTAATACACAGCAAACCTCAAGTTCGCCTCACAACATTGCTCGTCTACTGGCACCCTGTACCTGGGGGCCGACCCCAGCTTGGTCCTCTGGGCCATGGGCCGCTTCCTGAAGCCACCAGCCAGGGCGTCCAGCCTTTTAATGTCCTGGTTCTGGCGCAGGCAGCAGGGATAGGAGTGGGCATATGCAGTCAGGTCGTGCAGCACCTCCTCCTGAGTGAGCTGCACTGGTTCGGGCAGCTGGGAAACCTCTTCGAAGGCGGCTTGCAGCGCCACAGTCCAGCTCAAATCTGATCGGACAGAGGGTTCACGGTTTCAGGGCAGCAGCATTCCGTTTGGATGCGTGTGTCAAACTACGACACACAATAGCCATTCAACCTGGTCATGGCTCAACTTACTCCAAGCAGTATCTCTAACACAACATTGTTCATTTCGCTGCAGTCCAGTACCAGCGGCGAACATGCATGTTCCCAGAGTGGTGAGCTGGGGTGACTTGCAACGCAAAAACACCAGTGGATTTTTGAGCTGTGGGATCCCAGCAGGGGCTGAGACACAGGATGCGACCTTGCTGTCAGGATGCGACCTTGCTGAATACCTGACTTGCCCTCACAGACACGGACAAAATACATGTTGTAGGTCTGTTCGAGCAGTGAACAAGCCTCCTGGGGGATGCACACGTCAGCGGGCTCCTCTTCGCCATCCTTTTCTGTGGGCATGGCTTCACCAGGGCTGCACATTCTCGCAGGGTTTCGAGACACTTCACAGATGTCCCCTGCCTCCTCACTCTTTCGTAGGGGGGCAGGTGCAGCGCTGCCATTGTCACGATGCTCGATTCGCTCTGGAGATGACCCTGGTGTGCTCGCTCCGCAAGTTGGCAAGCTTTTCTGATGCTCTTTCAGTGGGGCCGCACGGTCTGGTTTGAATTCCGGGGTGTCTGGAGGGTGTGGGAGCAGGACGCGCAGCTTTTGAACCAAAAGGATCAGGAAGTATCCCAATGCTAAAGGGGCGATGTCGTTGAGGCACGGACTGCAGAGGCACAATGCAAGAGTCAGCAGGAAGGACAATGACTTTCATGCCTGCAAGGGGAAACGCAATGGGCTTTCTTGCATACATCTCAAAGATCTCTGACAGTACCTCCAGAGTAACCAAGGTCACAATTTCCTGACGTTTGTTCAGCGCTTAGCACTTTAAGCCACAGAGCATATAGTAATCAAGCCACTGCCAGAACGTGGAGCATACAATACCATGTGCCAGATGCTGTCTTTAGCGCCTGCGCCCCGCCACTCCCTCCAACTGCTTTGAGACATGCCACCGCTGATTTTAGAGTCTCCAGATCCCCAGTGCGATACAGTATCTGCGGGCACAGACCAGAATGCAATGCTGAACGCCAGCAACACTTCAACGAAAACATGCAGCTGTTTCGTTGATGTTCGGGTCTGGGTTTTGTCCAAGGAGAATATTTTGCAGACACAAACCGCATGCTGTTCCCTGGTTGCAGTCAATCCCTGCTGATACCAACATAGCCAAGCGTCGGAGCACATGCTTTGCTCTTGGCTGAACTGCAGCAAGCTCTTCCAAATTCCTCCCAATGCTACAACCACACCTTGAAGTGCAAAATACAAAGCATAAACATTTGTGTTGGAGAAGAAGGCCACACATCAAACCTATGCTTTCTTCAAGAGTTTGTTCACAGCAGAGCCCAGGTGGGGAATGCCACTTGCATGGCACGTTATTCAGGTTCTACACCTCTTATCGGGGAGACAGCTTGCAGCTGAACAGTAGTGTACTGCCAAGACGTCATGTCTCTGTACCGGCTTGCAACCGTTTCGCACATTGCTGTTTTCATTTATGGCCAGCCACAGGCCCCCTCTGGCCTCCTTTTCATTTCAGAGTCGACACTTATTTCGTGCACTTTGATATACCGTGGGAGTATCAAGCCCCATAATCCATAAAGTTCTGCTTATGGGTTGTTCAGTGGTCCACAGCGATTCCCTCACCTTCAAGTACAGCCCTATGTACTTTCTGAGAGCAGCCACATACTTCCTGCGTGAATCTATCACCCCAATCTTTCCGTCGACGCCAGCCGGCCTCTGGCCCCATAGGGAGCGAGGGATGGACGCACATGATGCGCCTTGGCTGCCAGGACGCAGTCGACAGACCTGATTGGCTGTCCGTGTACTCCTTTTCGTGGTAGCTCTCTTCATGCCGTAGTTCTGAGGAAACAGTCGAACCAGCTCAAACAATTCACAACTAGGAACAGTAAGGGACTTTGAATCAACACAGTTCCAGCATGCCAATGCCTATCACTTCAACACTGCAGGGTGATTTCTCTTGCTATCATATAGTTGTGAGAGCCTCAGCAATTGTTGGGTGCATGATGCTGAGCGCTGGGGCGTGGTTTGGCACTTCAAGAGTGGGCACGGGGACTGCTGGCAAATGGATGAGACATCAGCACGAAGAACATTGTGCCCACGTCTTGGTCAGCAAATCTGAACATCTGTTGTTCTCTGCATTGCCCTGGTGAGCAGCAAGGTGGCCATTTCATTTGTGAAGTGATGTGTGGCTGTTTGCTGCTGTTCATGCTTATCTTCCTCGTGATTCAAGGACTAGGAAAACACTATGGCAAGAATGGAATCGTCAAGTATTAACTCGTGGAACACGTTTGAGGGGATTGTTCTAAGATGTTATCAACAGCAGAAAGCCAAGAGAACGACAGAGATTTTCACGTGACAGAGCCCTTCACTCTACTTTTCCATTTTGTACCTGCAAACATTGAAAAGGTCGACTTGAAACTGGTTGAGACATGCGTGTCAAGCATTGAAATGTACTCAAAGCTGAGTCGCTCTCACATGCACACAGGAATCGCTAGTACAGCAAAGAGAACCATGTCATGCAGTGGGCAACCTCCCCTGTGCCAAAAAGTGAGACTCTGTCCCATCTTTCTGTCTTCCGCACACCCATTCCTGTTGAGTTGCAACACATTTTGTGCAGACAGGCAACACCAGTACAGATTTCTTCCAACCATCTTCCTTGCACAGAAGATCTCTACAACAACCCTTGCGGATGCAAAGTACATGGATGCAGAATTTAGGTGGCGCATGGGCACAACCAACGCGCCTGACGTCTGAGCCCAAAGTGGTCCAGCCCACAGAAGTGCAAATGCAATCCATACCTCTGTCTCGATCATCCAGACATTTATGAAGAATGCTGGAGATTTTTTGCCACGAGAGAACAACTGGCGAAGGTACCCATCTGCCCTTGACAGGTCACCCTGCCGGTAGTATGCATCAGCAAGTCGATGCAGAGCCCTGTGGTGGTACTTATTCTCTTCGAAGCAGAACAGCATTGCAGCCGCACAGTCCGAGAACACACCCTGGGACACACAGCGTGAGATGTGTTTCACACGAAAAGTCAGGAATACACCTCTAGGGATCGTTGCTACTATGTTTCAGAGTGTTGCATGCGACATCGCTCTTCAGGAAAAATGTAGCGGTACAAAGGGCACGCAGTGTGGTGCAAAGAGATTTGTGCATTGGGGTAGCACATTTCTTTTGGAAGGCAAGGTCTAGCACAACCCATTATTGGGTGATTGGTGCTCCTTCCCTGCCTCACATTGTCTGCCCAAGATTGGCGCATAGGTGGAAGGGCGATTGTCTTTAGTTTCCTGACACTTTCGGTGGATGACAATTTCCCTCTGATATTGCCTTAGCCGTTTGGATAGGGGCTGTTTAGCACACTCGTCGCATCTTTGGTTCTCCTTTTCTGTGATGTTGTGACCATCTGTGCTCAAAGTCTCAACTCTTGTTGTGAACATCAGCAGCAGTCCACTCAGCGATTCACACAGCAAGATTCCATTCAGCATACCTGAAAGAGGTACTCGTCCAAGGGGCCCAGCGACTCGGTGGAGCTTCCACCAGTGGCCACAGCTTGCTGTCTCTTGTCAACTTGTGTCTGCAAGTCCGTGTCAGGATTAAACATGTACCTGCACAAATCCACGCTGCTGATCTGTAGGAGTGGAAGCCCTCGAAGGCAAGTTCTGATTACTGCATACTGGCAGAGAATCTTATCATAATGTTCACCAGCGAGAAGGAATTAGAAGTCCTGTGATAATGGCACCAGGAGGCTTCCAGAAACACAACTACAGAAGAAAGTAAACTAAGGAAAATAATGACATAAAGAATCTGAGAGAGAAACCATTGTGAGGTGAGGAAGACATGACAGAAAGACAACAGGCATGTAAAATAGTCTCCACAAGGTAGGTGCCCATCGCAGTACATATTCCTGTTATCTTGGCGACAGATTGAGAACAGTCCGCCCAAGTGATGCCCCTGCACTGTCCATTTGCACAATACCTTGTGAGCATGCCCCAATCGCGGTTGCCAGCGAGCAACAGTTTCAGTCTTGTTGCATGGAGACGATAAATGGGCTCCACAAGACCACCACCATGGACTGTTGCAAACATGGCTGTCTGTGCAAAAATGTCCATGCTTTTGTTCTCCCAGCCTTCCTCCTTCAGTTTCCAAGTCAGTTTTCCGACATACAGCATGAAGGTCCACTCCTCACTCAGCACATTTGCAGCTTCCATGTATCGCTTCAATGCAAACCGGCATTTTGCCTGAGGCAAACAACACATCTTGTTTCAGACAAGTGTAAAGGTCTCTGACAGACTTCGAGCAAAGGAAGAAAATCTGGTGAACTGTGCTGCTGTAGCGCACTGCTTTTCAGAGAAAGAGAGCCCCATGAGGACCCCCCATCTATAGTCATTTGCACTCCAGTCAAAGCTGAAAATTTTGGGAGTGCATTAAAATTGTGCAAGGTTGCCTCAGAGTGCTGCAACTCTGGGGTTTGGATCTCAATCATTCAGCACACCACACCAAAAGAGTCTTTTCCCAGCACTACATCTGCTCAGGGCTGCACGGGGCCCTCTTGTCTTTTGACAGGATGGGGGAGGTCACTACGTTTCAAATGCTCAGAGTATGTGACATAAACCTGGTACAAAACACATCTCCATCGCCTGGTGCGCTAGGCAATACAGCTCCACAAATGTGGAGCTGCTGTGCATCTCAATTTTCAAGCAAGTTCAAGGCATGCAAGCAATTTCAGGGCAGCATGTCTTCCATCTTGTCTGGTCAGAACGTGGGTATACAGTTTTTTTGGCCTTCAATCATTGTTTCGTCTGTGCTCCAAACTCAAAAGGACTGCACTGGTCCCACGTGGGAGACAAGATTCCCAATTGAGGGAGTATAAATGCAACAGAAAGCCCTCACAGCCACACAGTATTCCAGTATTGAACCTGGAATTGTTCTGAAAACAATATCCACACAAGTACTTCGGAAACAAATGAAGTACAAAAACGGAAGTACTCTGGAAACAAATGAAGACAAAAACATCAAGACACAATTAACAAATAGGGCAGAGGCGCTTGGAACAGTGACATAACATTGCTATCTGTCTACCACAGCCGTAGGCAGTCAAATTACACCTGGGATTCAGCATCAAACTCGATTGCACGCTTCTTTCCATGGTGCTGTGGTGGCACACACTGCAGCACATTAAACACCGCCTCGCCCAATGCCTCGTCCAGTTCTGCCACGTCGCTGTCTGAAACACTGCTGTCTTTCGCCCCCAGTGCGCGGGCGATCGCCAGGCACCGCAGCTGCCAGCGTTGCAGGCGCTCCAGACGGCGGATCCATGCCTCATGCTGCGGCCAGGCGCCTGGCTGGACCTCAATAGCAGCATTGTCCCACAGCGTCTCAGACGCATCCTGAGTGACGAATCCCACCACATGATTTGACCCTCAGTCCAACAACATGCAAACACTGCAGTGTGGATGGTTGTGGCATGCTTTGCGACGTGCCCCTATGGGAAGCAACATAAACACGAATGCCTTGCTTGCAGTGGATGGGGGTTAACGGCACACATTCAAGGGTTGTGACGCAGGACTTTTGGTGACCTTGTTTGAATCTCTGACAGATGCTTTCATTCTTGGGTTGTCCGGAGTTCAGGACAGCTAATTTCTTCATTTTACTTGAAGCAACAACTGCTGCTGCTCTCATGATTCAAGGGTTCTGGGTCCATTGGTGCCTGCTGTCACAGCGACGCCATGGTAAGCGTCAAATGAGTGAGGGATCCAAGCAGTGCAGTGAATCTTTGTGTGCAAGTTTGGAGCAAATCTGCTGGTGCATTAACTTGTGCACTCCAACACTGAAGGGCCGTGCCAATTGTTTTGCTCATGGCTTTGAGCCAAGAATCTTAGATGGGCAATTTTAAGCCAAGAATTGATGGCATCCTGATGAATGCCAGAATTCTGTGCAGGAACGTTCGACATTCAAGGGGAAAGCGATCCATTTTGCAAGCAGCTGGCGACCAGAACTGTCGAGTGGTGGAAACACAAGCGGACAAGGCCAAGCTCAAGCACAGGAACAGGGACATAACAAACAACAGGATTGTAGAACATGCCAAACCACAGGCTATCACTCAACTACATTGTCGCACAACTGACTGGGAAGCAGCGAAAATGAAAATCTAGTGCAATGAATAGCATTTGACGCGCAGCAGAATACGAACAAATGTTAGGTTCGCAGCACCCTCCAGCTCTCAAAGGGCAAATGACGCAATGGCCAACCAGCCACAGCCAGATAACCTTGACGGCTTCTTTGATCACTGCTCAGCTCCACGAGCCCAGGTGCAGATGCAGAGAAGAACTTGACTACAAACCCAAACAGTGCGCATTCTCCCAGGTAATGGTTGAATGTTGGATACTCTGCATTGGTGATACACAGGCAATGAGCAAAAATTCGGCATATTGAATAACAGTTGATGTTCGAAAACTGGAATGTGCGTTGATCACACACAGGCAACACTTAAAATGAACATCTTTCCGTGTTCAATTCACAAAGGTTAGATGACCTGTCGGCAGTCACCTTGTAGCACATGCCCAGCGTCTCCCAGCTCCAGCACCTTGTTGGATTGAAGACAAGGTCCCACTTGACCCACTGCACTTGCTCCTCGATCTTTTCGTCTGCATTCTCGCCAAGGGCACCAGTGCATATGTTGTAGTCCATGCTCTCTTCCACTGTTGACAGTGCTGACCAATAGTGCAGGTGGTTGTGCACCTCCCTGCCAGTGAAAATAGCAACAAGGATCTGTATTTGTCAGAGCATAGCAGAGTGCTTGCCCTCTTACAATAAGAAAGGTAGAGAATCGTCTAGTGGAAGTTCACAGTGATCAGCAGTACGCCGAAAGGAAGCTTGGCCCTTTGTGCAGCTGCATTCAAACAGGACAACTGGTGTTTTAGTCGAAAGAGAAACAGAAATTCGTGGTCCCCAAACGCCATCATTGTGTGCACATACTGCGGCCTTCACCTGCATGGCAGAGGCGTCATGCAGACAGAAATTTCAACGAATTGTTTAACGGCCTTCACCTGCATGGCAGAGGCGACATGCAGACAGAAATTTCAACGAATTGTTTGATGATGGGTGAATGGGTACAATACTGATTGAATAATCAATCGATTGACAATGGACTGTTTTTGTCTATTGATGGCGGGCCACCTCACCTGTCAGCCACATTCTGTAGGATCTCCATCCTCTGTGCACTCTGAGGGTTAAGGAAATCGGGGAGATCGCCATTCAGTAAGGACTTCTCATCAATGTTGGGGTCATCCAAAAAAGCATCGACACGCAGCGCTGCAACGGCCTCAGGTGGCTCACTTGCAACGTGCTTGCTGATCTTGCACAGGAAGTCCTTGCAGGCATTGAATTTTTTGTAGTTCTTCTTTGGGTCTTTGCTTGCTATGATCTCAAGGTAGGGCTGCACTGCACGCCACACCTCCAGGCATGCATCTCTCGAGTTCATCACCAGTCTGAAATGCATTGCAGGCATACATACATCGTAACAACAATTCACAGTGACACAGACATTGTGACCATCAACTGCCCCTGCACTTAGTTGTGAGGTGGCATAAGGAACTATGTCTCTTCAATTTGGACAGGTTGGCATCAGCACAAATAACTGGAACAATATACTGGCGCAATGCTGTTCCAACAATACAATGACAATAGCACTGCAGCAGGTATGTGTTGAACTTGCAGGAACGATGTTGACGCAATGACAACATGGTCCACGTCGTGCCTGTGCTTTCCACAGTCATGCAGACTGGTGCATTCATGCAGGTGCTCAACATCAGCCACATGCACTCGCCCCAATGTGGATGTCTACAGTGGTGCCTAAGTCTTGGTTCAGTTTTAGGGCTGACCTTCAGCACCAGGAGGTGTGATAGCTTTCATGTTGCTGCAGCACCACATTGACACTGCAGTATCATGTGTACCAAATCCTATTCGATCGATGCACAGTGAACGATTCGTTTCCAGGAGGGGGCTGCTCACAGTATGACCAATTTCTTTTCACCTTTCAACCAACACAGTGAGAAATCACAGGCTACCCAGTTGCACACTGTCCCCACCTGTCTTTGGCAGCACTGCTGTAGCCGCCACCCCATTGATGGTTCCCCAGCCCAAGTTCTACTCCGTAGAGGCAACGCAGGCACTGGGCGATGCCATCACCAAGGGCATCCAGCAAGTCATCAGTTACTTCACTGGAGATATTCGAATTGATGCTGAACGGGGATCCTTGGGGAAAGTTTCCAGTTGAGGAGCCGGGCTGCAGGCCATCTGGACACAAACAGATCAATGTGGTCACCAGAAATGCAGTGGCATGCTAGGGCAGAAAGCAGCTGTCCTGTGGCAGTGTGTCAACTTGAACAAGAGCAATAGCCTGCCTGCAGCAGAGATGCATAAAAAAGTTGTGTTCAACCCGCAACAAAGGTCAGTGGGGATTGAAGTTACAGTGCAGCAACAAAAAAGGAACTACCGACAGCACTCCTGACTTCAAGCAATTTGTTTGTGCAATCAATGGGTAGGCGACATTCTCCTGGCTGCCCAGGCAAAAGCCACAAGCAGCACTGTCTTGATGCACCTTCAATTATTTTGCTTCGTCTAAAAATGTAAGATTTCTGTACCTCCCATATAGGAGCCCTTGCCTTGCTATTTTCTGCAAACAGCATGCATCAATGGCTTTACCTCCTTGCTGCATTGGTTTGCCAAGCAAAAGAGGGCAGCAAGGGCCTATCTAGGTGATCGGTTATCAAATGGTCTGTGTAGTTGCACATCTGACAATGAATGAGCAATATGTCTCACTAGTTCTGGCCAGCAACTTGGGGACCACATCACACAGAGAAGTGCTGGACAAACTTGCTTCCTGCTTTATTGACGACCGGACACAGAACTGTACACACTTCCACAAACACCAGATGGGGCGTCCTTCTGTTCATGTGCCAAGAAAGGCACTTGTGTGCACTCTTCTTTGCTCTTGCCACAGTCTCTGCACAGATTGCTTTAATTCTCCAAACACTGTGCTTCAGAATCACAGCAAGTGGAAGCACATCCAAGAACAAACAGCAGTGCAATCCCCATTCTCACATTCGGCCATCTTCCTCATCGTTGCAGCTCTGAGGCACATAAGGAACAGCTTCAACACACTCCCCTGCTGATGCAGCAACGCCTCCCTGTCGGCCAGCAATCGGAATAGGGTGCACAGGAGGTCCTCTGTCGCTTGAGGGTCGCTGGAGGTGATCGGCAAGACAAAGTACGCAGAATGAGGTGCAAATGATGGAAATGCTGAAAAAGCGGCGATGTGCTGCAAGCTTTTGAAAAATGTGAGTCCAGTGTTGCGGCCGGGGCAACGAATGGGTCCCAATTTGCAGGCTTATGGGATCCTATCCACAATGGCGAGCTAAGAGTCTCACATTTGCACAAAGGTTACAGAACTGACTGTTGCCAGGCCCAACCAAGGAGGGCAGCATTTCATCCAGAACTCACTGCATCGATGGGCTCAATTTAGATAGAGATTTGTTGATCACATACTTTGCAAGGAAACCATTCACTTTTTCGACAATAGCAAGGCAAGAGTCTCACATTTGCACAGGGATCATACAACAGACTGTTGCCAGGCACAAACAAAGAATGGCAATGTTTTGTCCAATGCTTTATGTGTCCATGTGTTGAGTTTAAACAGAGGTTTGTTGATCAAATGATGTGCAACGACTTTCATCTCAGGTTGTGCAAACCCCACAATATTCTCCAGATGCCTTGATGTTTGACTTGATCGGCAGCTGATGATGCAACTTGAAACTCTGCGGAAGCAACTGTGGGCTCCCAAGACACAGCCACTGCACCCAAAGTTGCCCAGGGATTTCAGTCCATGCAGACATCGTACCTGCCAGCATCTGGATCGATTTGATGGAAAACAACCATTGCACGAGCGGCTTCACACAGAGCATTACAACGTTGTGACATGAGCTGCACAGCATCTTGTCCTCTCTTCACTTGTGACTGGAAGCGCCAGTAGCACCTGCATGACATTGGAAGATTGCCATGCATTAGACAACACCAGCCAGACTTTTGAGAAATTGAATCTGCCTCGTTGCACAGAGACAATAATACTGCAAGTTTTCAAACCGTGGTCTGATGCAGGAGAAGCTCGTGCTTTAGTCAAAGATGCCACACTCTCATACATCAAATAGAATAAAGAGTGTTTGGAAATGAAACGGTCTGGTCACTTCGTCAGCACCACACACGGATACAGTTTCGGGATTCAGATTGGGGCCACTCTGCTATTCTCACTCCTTGTCCATTCAGAGTATTGTGCGAGGCTGCCTCTTGCCTGAAGCTCCAACCCATTGTGGATGCCATGCAAAGGGATGGCAACAAGATGCAGATGCAATGGAACACCCAGGTGGGCAATTAACAACACAAAACTCAGTGCACTGGTTGCACTGCCTTGTGCAGCCAGAAATCATGCAAACGAAACGACCTGCAGCACAGAACACATCATATCCTGTGGAGATGCCAAATCAAAGTCATACGCTATGTGCCAATTCCAATATTTCACCATAAACAGCCCTATATTAAGCCCCTTTGCTCAGATAGCAAAGCACAGAATGAAACAGAGAAGGTGCATGTTACCATTCTAGGTGTTGCAACACCCTGAGGCGCACAGTTCGCATAAGCTTCAAGTTGTCACCATCCTCAAAGCACTGGAAGATGGAGTTATCTGGAAGGGCTGCATGCTGCAGCACAGCTTCCCCAAGAGACAGCAGCTTCTTCATGGCCATCATGATGGCCTTGTTGTTCTTTGGTGGTTTCCGGCAAGCCATGGCCTGCATGTGCAAAAGATGCACAATGAAGTATCTTTAGCAGCCCACTTCTCTTTGAGAATTTCACAGTTTACCAACTGCTCAACCAGGTGCGCCCCTGGCACAGCTTCGCACAAACACCCACAGTAATATACACATTGACTGTCGCAATCCGCGCTTGACAATTTTAGCACCTACCCTGTTTACCCCCAGAATGGACAGGAATGATCTCCACAATTCCTTGACACCAAGCTCTGGCAGCCTGTCACCAGGTGTGCAGGATGCAAACAAGTGTGCACACAGTCCAACATGCATTTGGTGGCCACCTTGCACCCATACCATTCATATCACTTTGCTCTTTCAATGATCTTCTGAACCAGAATGTCAATATAAAGCATTGGAAAATCTGCGTTGCAGCAGATGCCGTCAACATGAAATTGTTGTCGTTTGAATAATGCAAGGACTCAACTCCTTCCCAGGAGTCATCAGAAACATGTGTCATTGGGGTGTGGATTGTTGCCAAGGTGGACTGGACACATGTCCAACATGGAGCAAGAGCACAATGACAATCGCTGTTGTGTTCTTCACATACCAGCGCTGGAGGGACTTTCCCATGAGCTGCTCCATAGTGATCGTTGATCGTGTCCTCCCTAAGAGACAGCTTCGGGAGGAGCAGTTCCAGGAGCACAATGTCAGCCATCATCTCTGTTCCTATAGCAGTGGGCCGGAGGGTGGCAGCTGCATCCTGGACATGCCAAAATTAACAGGATGATGAGGACCATTTGAGAGTGACAAGCACACAGCACTGCCCTTGCTCTCTTGTGATCCAAGGGAATGCGCAGATCGTTTCAAGGTGGGTGAGAAGAGGCCACGTGTGGCTTTCTTGCATTTTATGCTACACTGTGTCTTGTGTGATCCCTGCTGCACTTGCAGGTTTCTGCACCGTCATCTCCACACATGGAACATAGTCTTACAGCAATCCTCGTTCAAAAGTTGGGAGGCATTGAGTGGGCGGCATTGGGAAAACAGCATATTCGAAAGGGGAATTCAGGCTCCAGAAACCAAGCAACCGCTAGTATTGTGTGTGAACAGTAACAACAGAGCAAACATGGTGTCCTGTGCAATACTGGCTTCTGTGTGCATTCCTACACAGGCGCCTGGTGTATGCACATGTATTGCCCAGTCAAGGAAAGATTCTGAGCAATGTCCATGGCTGTCCTCAACAACACAGTCAATAAGAAGAGCATGTTATGCAGTCCGCATCCTGCCTTGCAATGCTGCCAACCAATGCCACCCTGTTGCCCATGTGCTCAAACTCACACCTGCAACAGCTGCAGCGCCTTGATCTTGTCCACCCTATTCAGCATGCGTCCCTTGGTGGTGGCACCTTCTGCTGCTAGCACCAGAGGCGACAGGGCGTCGATCAGCTCCTGCGCTCTGCCCTCTTGCTTCCAGGACTCCATGTCGCACAGCTGCCCCAGCAGCTTGGCATAGTCTAATTTCTTCTGCACCGCCACCGCGTCGATCCTGTTTTCTCGCTTCCAGTGTCTCAGAACAACTGGCTCAAATGCGTCATCGTTGCAGATGGCAAGGCAGCAGCGGTAGTGTGCCGCAGCCTCCTCAAATTTCTGTTGGCATTCAAGCAGCATGGCGCGGCACCAGTGGTAGCGAATGATGACTTCCTGTTCAAGAAGGAACGCCAGGACAACTGAAGATGTGAGCAATGCATGGGCACAGCCATGGCAGTTTGGATACTCGACACAACTAGTTAGACATGGCCCATTCCCCTATCAAAAATTGAAGGCCAGGGTAGAGTGTGAACCCAGGCAGACTACTCTGCAAAGTCATTTCCTGCTCAAGATTTACATTTTTCTTCTCCATTTAGTGGCTAACTGACGTGACCAAGGGCAGTGACTCACTGCGCATCAAGCCATGCTATCGATGCAGATCTCCAAGTCGGTAATGCGAAAGCATTGCACAAGAGCAACAATACCCAGCCTAGTCCAGATATGCGCTGTTACCAGCACGATGATAACTCTGTGCCCAACGAACTGCTTCACTGCATAGGTATCTATGCACATAACAAAACAGTGAAAGAATGCCTGGTACTTAATCTGCACATTGCAGTTGATGCCAAAAAGTTTTGCTGCTCTTGGATCAATCCACAATCACAACCGACTGCAAAATAGGACAAGTCACTAGCCTTGCATCAATCAGGCAATGTCCATTCCTCAACAGTTATTGCTCAGAAGTTTGTTCTTGGTTCCAGTTGGCTGTGCACGATCCAGCTTATCCAGCTTATGGCAAGCAGAAAAGGAAATCACTAAATGCAAGTTAATGGTACACAAGTTGCAAGAAGTGCATATACAATACCTGCACAGATATATGCATGCACAGGTGGAAAAGCGGAAGTTTCTTCCATGGTTGGCCCTTCATCAGGTCTGATGTGTGTGTGTGTGTGTGTGGTGGTGGTGGTGTGGGGCCTCTGCAGACCTCACTGGTTGGCTAGTTGACAGGCATTGTCAGAACTTTTCTCTAACACAGTGAGCTCTTTCAGTAGTTTGGACACAACGAGCTCTTTCAGCAGTTTGGCATTAGGGCCTAGGATATACTTAGGATATACTAGGTCTTAGGATATACTACAAGTACTACCCACAAAGGGCCTTCAGACTTTCAGCAACAACAGTATGACGTCAGCCAAAAGACTGCACAACTTGTTGTATGCTGCTCCTCCGTTTACCAAGAAGCCCAACAGAACCTCGTTGCTCCTTGGCCCAGGTGCCTGGCACAAGTGTATGGTTTTTCCAAGAGCTCAGCAAGTGAAAGTACAATGAGACAAAAAGCAGACATGCTTACCGGCTCATCAAGGTCATGGCCGTTGCCCTGCACAGGCATGACGCCCAGCAAAAACTCTTTGTGGCATGTGAGTAGATTCCTTTCACAGTGCCTGAGGCAGCTGGCAACCTCGGTAGACTCGATCCTCTCAGATCGATTTGCGGATTGGAGCGCGTGGTCCAGATGTAGCTCTGCCATGGTGAGCGCGCACAAAGGAGGATACTTCCACATTGGCTGCAGTAGATTGTCGAGCTGCACCAGGTGGGCTGGTTCCAAATCCTGCAACACAGAACACTGGAATGAAGAGGTAGAGGAAAGAAGATGCTACAAGTGGTTGCCTGCCCAACAGCAACTGCCCAACACCTGCTGGGTGCAAGGTGCACAGCTTTGCCATATTTTCAACAATTGCATTCAAGCAGACTGCAAGCAAGCGAATACAGGAGTTTGGGCATTTCACAGCTGCTGATGGACTGTCCACAGGGCATATCAGATTGATATCAAATGTATACCAAAGAATCCCAAAATTTCTCAATCGATACACAGACACACCTCCAGGTCGTCAGCACTCATGGTCCTCCTCCTCACAAGCCTGACAGCAACATCCCACAGATTTTCATCCTCCAATGATGACAAGAATGCCATCACGTCCTCCTTGCTGTTGCTAGCCTCCCTGGCATTGCCCCCATCAACTGCCATACACTCCACTTTCGCACTTTCAGGCGATCCATTCACCACTAAAGCACCCCATCCCATATGCCCGAAGATGGGACCAAGCATCGCAGGAACATTCCTTGTGAGGGCTGCATCCCTGGTTTCTTTCTCTGCTCCCCGTTTCTGTTCGCGTTCCGCCAAACGTTTTGATGTCCGCTGGCGTGCATGGCTGTCTGATGCAGATGCTTGAGCCTGGGAAGACGGCAGCAAATCGTTGCACACAGCTGCAGTTGCAGAAATCATACACCACTGCCACGTGCATACTTCGATTGAGTCATTGAAGCCATTTCTGCGGTTGCCATCTATTTCAATTTCTATTCTATACATTTTTTTTCCATTCTACATACCCGTTGCTTTGGTTTCAGACAGACATCCTGGCCACATTTTGGAGATGCGATCCCACTTTCTGGACACACCGAGGACCCACTGGCAAGGAAAGGACAACCATCATTTCTGTGGACAGCAGTTATCAAAATAAACTTGTCTAACAAGTCCATGCACGTCGCAGTCGATGACAAACGCAGAATGCAAAAAAGAAGGTATTTCTGCTCATTTTCCCACAATCACCACAGTGCACACCATGTAGTCACACAGTTTGCCAAGGATACCAGTGAAAAGCCAAGGAAAACCCGGACACAACTGGGAACAGAAATACACTAAAAGACAAGGCAAAGATCCCCCCCATAAGCTTCAGAAAGGGGCAGAGACATGATGCTATGACAAGGGCTCAACCTTGATGACCCAAACCAGCAACAGCACTTGCACACACATGCTGAAACATACATATACATACGTAGCAGTGCTACACAGTGAAAAGGGATAAACAATCTTGTGCACACAAGTGCCCAGTCAATTATCTGCCTTCTGCCTCTTAGTCCACATTTTCAAGCACACATCAGACAATTTGTTCCTTTTGGGGACCTGCCATCCACATCTTCGACAGTTACTCACTAGGCCACTCCAGCAGCAGCTGGTGTATGAACACTCCATTCTTTCCATGAACGCTGCTTCCAAACAACAGAGAAATACAGAAAAATACTAGTTGGGGGCGGAGTGTCAGTTCAAGCAGCATCAAATTTCAGGGTGGTCGTGGCGCCATGATTGCAGACCGCCCAGATTGGAATAGAAATGGGTGGGGTCCAAGTGGTAAAAAAAAACCTGTATGCTGCCACCAATCTTAGCATTAACACAATTAGAAGACCCACATATTTCCTGCTGGGCAGGGGGTGAGCAGTTGAGCTCTTGAATATGATACAGACTGAGGCAAAGATTAGAGGGTATTAGGTTTTTAGGTAAGTGCCAAACAACAGAGCCAAACATGCTGCAGCAGGTCGTGTGTCTAAAGTTTGTACGAAAACTCATGGACAGGTGGCTTACTGCATCTTGTGAGGCATCCTCATTGGTAAAGGAGCTCTGAATTGGCGATACTTGGGAACTTCCTGCAGGCGAGGGCCCAAACTTTTCAGAGGAGTCCCCTTGAGCATGTGGGGGGGTCTCAGCCACCTCCTCCTGCATCTGCACAGACAGCTTCCCTTCGGGTGTGCACTTCAGCACGGCAACTCCCTTTGATGGCTCCTTTCGCGAACTCCTTCCATGGCGATCTGACCACAGCCGTAGAGATGCATGGACTCCACATTGTTAAAATTTATCGAATGGATGACGAAGCATTGCCATCCAACTGCAACTGTTAGTATCCAGCTGCAGTGGGAATCCGCAGCACTTTAGTTTGCTCAACATGTGGCAAAGGACAGTCAAAAACGTCTGGCACCCCAAAAGGCTCATGAAGCTGTCACCCCTGAAACACAGAGTTCTCAGACAGTGTGGCCACAGCAGGCAAAGGGCGCAACCAGTTGGACGGCGCCAGACTTATGCAGCAGAATCTGCACACCATTGGCAACTCAAATGCATTCTAATCAGCATACTGGCCCCTCTAATAGCGTACTGGATATTGTTGGAGACAAAGTCCTGCTGGATACTCTTTAAAGTGCAGGATGTGGGATATTGGACCCATCTATGCATGTACAGTTGTACATTCAAGCCCTTTGGAACAACGATTCATACAGCAGGCTTCTCAGCAAAACCTGCAACTTGTTTGTGCATGGAATCCAGCTTGTCACATCCAAGGGAACAAATGGACTTAACCTGCTGTAAAGAGAGCAAACAGTGTCGATGTTGATATTAGGTTCTGGGCATCGCTGAACCCAGTACGAGTGCTTCTCTTATCCAAAAGGACATGACGATTATGACGAACAACATTACAGACGACATGAAAAATCAACACACTGGTCATGTCAAGTGTCTCTGATGAACTCAGATAGTTGAACAGTGCCCCTCTGCTAGAGGTCAACAATTGACCCCACAATAACTGGGGAAGACCCCACCCCAAAAGCCAACACTGTCAGACCAACAAGAAGGTGCGCACCATGGGCGCTTTCTTGGTAATTTAGCAGCAACTCTGACAAGGCCATGCTCAGGGAGCTCCAGCTGAACGAAAACAACGTTTTATTGAATGGCCGCCTGCACAAACAACTCTGCTGAGCCATGCACAGCATGAATAGCAGCCCAGCTGCCACGCACAGCAATGATATGCTCAAATGTGCATTGCATTTGGGACTCCCAACAGAAGAACGTGCTGAAAACAGCAGCATTTGACTGCGAGGCAGCTACATCAGGTGTACTTCAACATCCGCTATAGAATTCAGCACTTGGATGAAACGCAGGCAATCTGCTCTGACATCACCTTTCTCAAGTCCAACACTGCCTTTGCGACTGCAAGACAATGTCAGGCATGTTGTCCTTCCACATATTTTGCACCCCGACATGGCCTGACAATGTGCGTTGGCACTGTTTTACCCTGAATCAAGGCGGATTTCCATTGATGCTGTAACTTAGGTCCTAAAATGCCCTTGAACAAAACCATTCCTGACTGAATGCTGACAACTGTCTACAGCAGTTTGTCGGTTCCCCTGTTTTAAATGTCAAATCCTGCATGAGCTCCCCCAATGCAAAAAATGTTCAATGTGCAAACTCAGGCAGCGGCAATCACTGGGAAATCGAAGCCAGCATAGGAGCACCATATTGCATATAAGGATATTAATTCTCTGGCAGCAGACGAAATTGTGCCATACAATGGGTGTCCTTACCTGGCCATGGTATGTACCAAGACACAATTCTATTGAAGAGGATTATGTATATAAAAATGGATTAACTTTGGGGTCAAATGTGCCACACCTATCCCTTGAGCTCGTTGTCACCCCTGGACAATCAGCACCAGACTCGTCAGTCCTCTGACGCTTGGGCCTGTGTTGGAGGACCTCCTCATGCTCCTTGGGCCTGAACAAAATAATCGGTTTCAGGCGAAACAGAGAGCGCCAGAGCTTGGTTGACATTTGTGGCTGCAACACCACGCCAAGAGGGTGAGCAGCAACTTGCAATAATTTCATGTCTGGATGCATCAGCAAGCATGTGAAGTGTGTATACATGCACAGTGGTACAGGTGGCCCATCTGTGAGTCATCAATGAGCATTCTGGGAAACCCTTTGATCTGAATGAGTTGCCCACTTTCAAAAACAGAATGGTACTGACTTTCTGCTACTTTAACCACAAGGGATCAGAGAGATTCTTCATTTGCAGCAGGCGTGCTCAAGACCTTTTCTCCCACCACTGCAGCGACTCACATGTTCCCAGCCAGCCAAAGCTCATACTCCAACGACGTCTTCAGTCGCATTGCTCTTGAATGGCAGGGGACTATTCTCAGCATGTGGTACACCACTGGCAAAGCTGTGTTCCAATCACCGATTTCCATGAGGACCTGCACATGCCACACGACTCATTAGTGAATCACCTACTGGAAGCCCACAAAAGGCAGTGAGTTTGCCACAGGCATGGGACAGAGTGGGGCAAACAGGACCTTGTCCACAAGTGCATTTGTCAAACAAGAGTTTGCAGCAGTGGCAGTGTGGGGCAGCAAGAGGAAGCCCAAGTGATGCGGGAATGCATCAAAATGGGGCTGGCAGATCCCTTTCAACCATTGGCCTTTTGCAGACAAAGCTCTTCGCAAAGAGAAAAAGCAGCACAGGGAGGACTCAAGAACATGTTCTCTGAAATTTAACAGGACACTGCCGAATGGCCCATCTGCTCCCTTAGGCTCACGTTCCAGCTGGCACCATTTCAGGGATGGCTCACCTCCAGATATTTCTCCACCATGGGAAGGTGGTGTGGTCTGAGAGACAGACCGGACTCAAAAGCATGCCGAGCGTGAGCCATGCACCTCAAGTCCAGCGCCTGCAGCATTTGCAAGGGACAAGTGATGCTGAGTAGGGAGACATCTGACCTGGGTTTTGGCACACGTGGGGGAAGCAAGGGTGCATACTAAGATGTTAGGAACTCACACAAGAAACAAAGCAACAAACAAGCGATGAGTTCTGCAGCAGCAGCAGTGCAAGGGGAAAGTAGCACAGCCAGGGGTGGGTTATTGGCACATTTACATCTACAAACATAACACAATAACACTCCTGCTCAACTATTGGATTTCTTCCCTGCACGGTGACACTACAATGTCAATTTAAAGCACAACAGGTTCCTTCCATGGCTGCCGGAACAAGAGTGTCCCCAACATCCAAATGATCAAGAATAATTGCCAAGTGATGTGATAACGTGAAAATGATGCAACAGCAAATAGTATCCACTAAATGATCAATGAAACTTCAGCACTCCTCACCAGGCTGCCCAGCCTGTACCAAAGGACAACGTCTGTCCCATCGAATCTGGTGGCCTCTGTCCAGTACTTCAGAGCCTGCAGCCCCTTCATCGGCTGCTGCACCAGCACACCGCCCAAATTCTTCAGGACAAGGAAGCGTAGCTGGCACAGGAATGTCGCATCCCTGTCGTCTGCTCAGCATGACAAACAAAAGAAATGTGAAGAAAAAGTGCCCTCTGCCAGAGAAATCAAGGTGAAATGGTGCTGCTGCTCCACACATTGGAATTGCAATCGAATTCAACTAATTGGATCAAACTTATGAAGGTAAATTGAACTGAAAGGGACCCATGGAACAATTGCTCGTTCCACACTGTCCTGCTCCACTCCAGGTACTGCTGAGTTGCAATGCTCTCCATGAGACGGTGCATTCATCATCGTGGTATTTAAAAAGCGAAAGTGCAGCGTAAGGGGGACAAAGGAATGCAGCAGGTTCACAGCTTCGTACGGCAACAGCATGTGCAGCCCACTCCACATCGTCCTCTTGCAGGCTCTGGTTTATGCGGCACAACCAGATCCAAAAAGAAAAGGGTGGGGGTAGGGCTGGGGGTGAAGATATGGATGGGTGTGTGGGTGGTGGGGGCCCAAGGCTAATTATGGTAGATAAAAACGTTCTTACGTTTGTGCTTGCACGATCATGCCTTTTTGACTTTGCAGGGTTGGTGAGGCAGTCTATGTGAATGGGCATTGCAGCCCTTCAAACTGTGCACAATTTATCAGCAAACAAGCAATTACTCCAGATCGCCTGATTTTCCTGGTCTTCTGGTTTCCGCAAGATACAAAATGTTTCCTAAATGGTGGTTAGGAGCCATCAACTCTTTGAAAAGTTTGTACCCCCATATTGTGGCACATATTTGTATGCATGCACCTGATGGCATGCTGGTGAAATTCAACAACACAACAAGGAAAAGGGGACATCCCACAGCAGCACCTTTGCCAAGAAAATTATATTGATGAGACGGAAGGTTATGGAAAACCAGGGCATGGTAGAAAGAGGAAAGAACTTCTTGTAAACAGCAGAATCATTTGCTTAAGCGACAAGTTGCTGCAACAGAGCCCATCCTGAGCAGCAAAAAGGAGAATACCCTGCACAAACTCTCAACAGAAATCCATCACAAACCTTTTCTGGAGCGAGCGAAGTCTGCCAGCAGTGGGTTCTCAAGCAGCATCTTCATAGCTGCTTCAGCCTCAACTGACTTCCCAGCACTGACAAGATGGAGTGCTGCCTCATATTTCTGTACCTGGGGGGATGGAGCAGGTGGGAAACATTTCTAATGCGGTATGCACAACGCTGAGCCCGCCAACTTTCTTGCATGTCAAGGATGAGCAGCCCGCACAAGACACATCCACACAGGCCAACACCTCGATGTCAACAGCTGAGCACCAGCATTCCTCTGGTACTTCATCTATCCAGTTTTGAGGCTGCCAATGCATTTGACAAGACGAGAGAACAGAGGGACAGTAAACAGAACAACTTTCAGAATGGATGTCGTCCTGATCCTCACCAGCCAAGTAGGGAAGAAAAAAAGCATAACGCCACATATCATCCCAGATGGAACTTAGCACAATCACATCAATGTCTGTCCATTTGCTGCTTGTGTTTCTTACCAGCCTCGCCTTCTGCAGTTCGATTGTATCCTTCAGGGGCTCCAAAACCACCTGCTGACAACAGGTACCTAGAACGTGTCATATCTCTTCACCTTGGCCCCAAAACAGAAACACCTAAAAGCTGCAGCTCCCCCTGCTGAAAACATGCTGC